CAATATAGTTAAATTTTCTATCAACTTTAAGTTTCCTCTTTCCCCTGATCAGCTAACCAAAATGCAGCCATGCAATTATGCACATATAATGATTGCAATTAATATTTATTCATAGCACTGCATATTGTGATATAATTCTTTTTCATCTTTCTATTAACTCATCACAGTAAAAATCATCATTAAATACTGTGAACTCAAATTGAACTCTCATTTATAGGGGTAAACCACCAGCACCCTGCTGGGTGAGGTACCATCCGTATTTCCTATATTACTTAGGATAGCCTTTCACGCTGTTTTACTCTCAAGCCATTCTATTTGGTTGTGAACACGTCAAGACGGGAAGAACTGCTGGCCTGGGGTGATCATCTAATTTTGACCAGCCTGTTCTAGGGGGAGAAGATGCCACCACCCAGGTAGTCTCCCAAAGCTATATATGTTCAGAACCCTAGTCTCTTGAGGTGCTCCTTGAGAAAGCTATCAGATGATTGTAGATAATGCTACCCTCAGGTGATTCTATTGCCTGATATCATCTAAAAAGTTCTTTTAAAAAGTGTCCAGCAGTCAAGAAATCTTTCACTTAACAAATTATTAAGCCCCAGGTGCTGTTTCATCTTCCATGTGCTGGGGATACAGGTGCAACTAAAATAGCAGTCCCTGGGCTCAAAGAACTGTAATCCTACTTCAATTTCAGCTGTAGTTTGTTGGTGCTTAAGTTCTCATTCTGTTTGAGATGCTAATTACGCCTCCCTGTGAGGAGGTCATTAGCCACTGGGATAAAGAAGTCTGGGATTTGGGAGAGACTGGGGCTGGACATAAGAGTTAGAAATCCTGGCATATATAAGATTTAAAACCACAAGTTTGAGGCCACCAGAGAAGAAAGGGAACTTGAGAAAGATGTCAACCTTCAGAGGTTGAGGAGAGGAGGATAAGAGCCAGCAAAGGAACCAAAGAAAGCTGACGGGTGAGGCCGGAAGAAACCCAGAACCCTCTGATGCTTCATCCTGGCCTTTCCCTGAGCTTTATGCAGAATTAACATCCTCTAAGTAATAGGTGAAAAAGGCACCCCACTCCAGTACTCTGGCCTGGAAAATCCCATGGACGGAGGAGCCTGGTGGGCTGCAGTCCATGGGGTCGCTAAGAGTCGGACACGACTGATAGACTTCCCTTTCACTTTTCACTTCCATGCATTGGAGAAGGAAATGGCAACCCACTCCAGTGTTCTTGCCTGGAGAGTCCCAGGGACGGCAGAGCCTGGTGGACTTCTGTCTATGCGGTCGCACAGAGTTGGACACGACTGAAGCGACTTAGCAGCAGCAGCAGCAGCAACCAGTAATAGGTGTGCATTCAGTTGGGAGACTTGGAATGGAGTCCCTGTCATTACTGTACTCATCCTGGATACCTGGGAAAGAAACCCACTTGATTTTGATTCCCACCCCTAGGACAGCCTCTGAGATTATGCCAGATGCTGGTGCCCCAGGACAGTCTCTAGGACACCCCTAGGACAGCCTCTGAGGGCATGCCAGATGCTGGTGCCCATGTCCGGGCTGAGATGGAGATTTGCCATTTGTCACCAGAGAGAAGCCACATGACTGTTCTTCCTGAGAGCTGCAGGGTCAGTCTACTTAGAAAACAAAAGGGCAACTGAACTCTGGAATAACGCAGGGACAGCTTCACATTCCGCAGCACCAGCACCAGCACCTTTCCATTTCATCACAGTGAACAACACTGAGGTTCTAAATGGACACAGAGTACAGTGCCCCGCGTGATAAACAGTGCAAAGATGAGCAAGACCTGCATCTAACATTAGAAGAGATTATGCAACCATGTCCGAGGATAAGAAAAGATGAAAAGGTTGAAAGAACTGCAAGGCTTGAGACCAGAGCTTGGATTGTCTTTGATTCCTGTCCACTTGTCTATAAAGGGGAAGGCTGTGAAGTGTAGGGTGGCAGAAAACTCCCCAAAGAGGGTCAGTCTGTGCCCGAGGTGGCCGTGTGGGCAGGAGTGGTTAATGGCCACGGCCATTCTGGTGGGAAATCGGTCCCTGCTCGTCCCGAGCCTCAGCGGCAGATGCCGAGGGAAGCTATGTGCAGGTGACGCCTGGTCAGAGCTGTTGGATGGTTGGTGTGACCAGAGTGACCAGCCAGGCTGCGAGGGGCCTCGTGGCGTTGCTAGTACAGTGACTGAGCAGTCTGAAAGTGGTCTTAAGACAAGTGCAAAGGGCAAGTGGAACCTGGGGAGCAGCTCAATGGTGAAGCAGAACAAGAGAAGATGAGGGAAACTGAGTCATCTCTGGCCAGGACAACAGACACAAAGAAGAGAGAAGCTCAGATGGGGGATCTCTTCCCCACCAATGCCCTCCACCCTTGGTAGGGACTTGTCAACTATTTACTGAGTACTTGTTATGGAGAAACAGAGCAATACACTATCCCCGAGTCTGCTGAGGAGGCAGACTATTACACAAAAACAGAAAATGGTAAGCAAGACACTGATGTGGCAGGGAGGGTTAAAGCTTCCTGGACTGACGATTGCCTGGGCTGAGTTACTGAAGATCCATTGCAGATGTTTAGGTAAAACAGAGGGTGGGCATGCCACAGTAGGAGAAGACATGGCCTCAGCATAAAGATGCTAGGAAGGATGCTGATTCACCTGGTTTGAGTCATCCCTGAGCCTGCAGTTGGTTCCAGGGAAAGGATCCTTCAAGGGACCAGGCAGCTTGTGGAACAAGCCCTGTCCTGAATGAGGAGGGTAGGGCCCAGGCTTGACAGTCCCGTTTAAATCACCAGTGTTGTCTCTAAGGAGTCCAGGAGAGACCAAAAACTACAGATGAAAACCACAGACAGAAAGGTTTCAAAGGAACTGTTGTGGGAGCAGGGAGGTGGGAGGGGGAGCTGATGAGAAACACACAGCACAAAGGCGGGTGACACAGATTATCTGCCCACTGATGTCATTTTCTCCAAGGGCTGTGAAAAAGCTGATGATTGAACTGAAATACACCACGGGTTTTGCCAAGTGCAAATAACGACTGGAAAAGAGAAAGAAGCAAGACTTTAGATTGTCGGTAAGAGAAAGGTTGAAGGAAGGTGGAAACAAATCCTGGTTTGCTTGGACGGTCCTGGATTATGCCTGTTCATTGTGTTTAGTATCCTTTACATGCTCAGAAGTGTCCCAGTTTGGATGGTAAATTATATGGTCACTTTAGTTTCAAGTGTGCTCCCCCAGTGAGTCAGGGGTAAAGAACCTACCTGCAATGCAGGAGACACAGGGCACTCGAATTCAATCCCTGGGTCAGGAAGACCCCCTGGAGAAGGAAATGGCAACCCACTCCAATGTTCTTGCCTGGAAAATCCCATGGAGAGAGGAGCCAAGTCGGACAGGACTGAGCGTGAGCATGTTGCAGGTTGCATTGCATGTCTTAGGTTTAAGTATATACATACAGTTGGGCTTGGAAAGTCAACCAGGAGAAGGAAAAACCTGGAGACTTAACACCTGAAAGGGAGGTTGTGATCAGAGAGTGGGGAATTACGTGAGTTTAAAGTTTCAGGTGTGGATGGGCTCTAAGTAACCATGATGTCCAGGGGCTGGGTTGCAGCCATGAGAGGTTGCTGTTTCATTTCTCCATGTCGATGTTCAAGGTGATGACAGGATCCAGGGTGAAGGAAGGGACTTAGTTGACAGTGAGCCGAAATGGAGGTTCAGCAAAGCATCCCATGGGACACAGGAAATGGACAGAGGCTTGGACTTGCGTGCAGAGGGCAGGGGTCTTCCTATTCGCTGAGTGATCAGCTTGCTTCAGATTCTGCAGCTGTAGGGATGGTCTCCATCTTGTTCTCTGCTTTATCCTCTGTGCCTGGGGCTCGTGTGTGCTCAATAAATATCTATTGAATGAATGAAGAAAATGCTTTGTATCTGGGAAATCTCATGTGCTGGGGACGTGGGTTTTATGCCCTCAATTTCACAGGTGAGTAAGTAGGCTCAGAGGGACTTATTAATTTGCTAGTTTCCAACAGCCAGTAAATGGCAAAGCTAGTATTCAGACTTAGACCTGCCTTCCTCTAAGGCTCACACTGGTGATCACTATAAGATATTAGTTTTGATGGTAAAAATAAGACAAATGTACACACATACATGTATTTATTTGTTAAGAGCTTATTATACACTTGGCATTGTTTGAAATGTTTTACATATATTTAATCCTCTCAACATGTAATTCTCATAACCAACTTATAAATTAGGTGCTGTTACCATCCTCAGTTTATAGCTGAAGCACAGTGTTAAATACTGTGCCCAGGCAAGCTGGCTCCAGAACCCATGCCCTTCCTGACACTGGTTTGCAATTCACCTGAACTATCGGGAATTTGTTTCCACACTGATGAACAATATAATTTACTTCTTATGAATCCCTTTGTTTAGATAGTCCTGGTTTCAAAACTCTGGTCAAACACTGAAGTAACTGTGGCTGAATCCAGGGTCCCACTACCCAGCTGGCCAGCAGAGAGGTGTGGTTCCAGATGGGAAATTCTGTGGAAGGCCTGTTACAAGCAGAGACAATCAGGAAAATGAGGAAATGTACACACAGACTGCTAGGATCTGCAGCAAAATGCTGAAAGTCTTAGGAGAGGCACATCAAAGAACTCTGGGAATACAGCCATCTAGGATTGAAGCCACAGGAAAAGACAGAATGTTTGATAAGCCTGTAAGGTGGTTATAGAAGCCAGTGTGTGAGGATATGGTAGAGATCCCGGTGAAAGTTGCAGTGGAAAGAATGGTGTTAGGAAGTGTTCCCTGGGCCTTTGTCTGATGCAGTTTAACCCCAGAAAGAGACAGTGGGCTAACACAGGTACCTGGTTGCTGGGAACTTCTGTAAAAGGATAAGGAGTGGGAGGCACTTGATAAATTCACTGCCTCATTTTTGATCTCACAATTCATTTAGATAGCAGAACTTAGCTTTGAGTTCAAGAAGCCAATAAACCACAAGAGAAAAATGAAATGTTCTCTTTCAGACTTGCACACCTACCCCCGTGAAGCGTGAACCCTATAAAGGCGAAGTCGTCACACTGACATCCAGAGGGACAAAAGAAGACTCCACACATGGGACCAGGAAACAGGCCCAGCCCTGACCACGTGCTGTCGGTAAGGGATGGTGGGCAGGGCGAGGTTTCCTGCAGTACAACATATAACGTTAGCCTATCTCTTTTTTCCTGAACGGTTGAAGAGCCCAAGATCAAGGTCAAAGACTTCCAAGTGACTTAAGATTCAAGGATAGTTTGGCCAAAGGACAGACTGGGTGAGCCTCTTGACACAGAATGCCTGGGTGAGCCTCCCAAGTTGAAGAAGGCCTTGAGCTAGCTGGAGATTTATTCTCTGAGATATTAGGAAACATTACGCAAAGGCTTGGAAAACCAGATATAAGAAAGAGGCTAGTAACACAGAGGGACCTGCTGTGAGGAAGGTTGCCACTACTTAATACCAAGAGTGCAAGTTTATAGTCAAAATGTATAAACTGGTTAGGACTTTATCTGGAAGTAATGAGTCTTTGTATTGTAAAGGCAATCATGTTCTAGAAGTTAGAATGAATGAAAAATGAACCAAATGTTACTTTGGGTGTAATTTTTCAGGAAAATTATTTGATAGTATATGATAAGCTTTATTTCACACAGTTTTAGAATAGCATGACAGATATGGTCATTTTTTTAAGAAAAATTTGAGTGCTTCATCAGTTTTTTCTTTTCACATTCAAATCTGTCCTCTTCAAGCACCTATGATCATCATTTTGTCATTTTCTTTTTCTTGGGTTTTTAAAAAATTATTATTATTTTTTCAGTTGTTTTCTGGTCCCACTCTGCCAAGTGTCTATTTGGCTGGGCTTTGCTGTGATTTAAACATTTCTCTAACATCATTTCTATTTACTTCATGAAATCTGCATGTTTTGTAACTTTACTAGCCTCTATGTTTTTTTTTCTTTTTATTGTGTGATATATTTTCAGATTTGCAACACATCACACCAGCAAAAGATGACAGAAGAGGTTGACATGATGGACAGGGAAAGATGTTTGTGTTGATTAGGGACACTGTCTGTCAAAGGACTCATTTTACATACAAATCCAGTTAGGCATTGCTGGTTTGCACATTATGCTAACCTATGGTTCCTGACATAAACCCTGAGACTGTGATGGGGTGCTGTGTACTCCCAGCCGTGTTCTCTTTCATTTGAATGTTGTTAAGTCTTTAATAACACTGTACAGCCAACAGTTCCAGCTTTGTTGTCATTTCCTGACGATGGGAATTATTCTTCCAATCCAAAAAAATTGTGTTAAAAATTCAGAGGAAGATTAACAAGATGAAGACATTCTATTGAATGCCATAACATGCTATTACCAGCATTTGTAGGAGTGAGATTAGTGTTTACTTTGATTATAACATTTCTTGGGGGTTAGGCTTCGGTTCTGCATCTCTTTGTGAGGGAGAATGTTACACTCTGTTCCTTTTATTCTGTTCAAAGGTAAAATCAGAGGAAAGGATGCCACTGTTCCCATCCCAGTTAAATGCTGTTAGCCCGTGGAGAAGCAAGCCTTATTTCAACTCCGTAAGATCCTTTTGAAAGAATAATCTCTCTCGGCTTCTTTGATTTCCTTTCAGAAGCAATTGCTGTCTTTCTTACTGTGACTTTGTTGCTGTGTAATATTGAAGATATAAATGAATATTATTGTGAGAGAAAAAGTCTGTGTGAAAATTCATAGACGATACTTTAAAATGTCATCTTTGCTTGTACTAAATTTCTTACTTTGAATTTTTAAAAATCACTTTCCCTTTTAAAGTTTTATAATGACTACATTTATTTAAATAAGTGTAGTTATTTAATGGCTAACTCTGTGATTTTACATGCTATTGTAATTCATAAGCATTTAGATCTTTATTGTAATTAATAAACATTTAGATCTTCATTTTATATCCTGTTATCCAATTATGTGTGTCTTCTCCTAACTAATGGGATTGAGAGTCTGAGAGGTTGGTTTTGATTTGAAAGCATAATTTCCTGAGAGACATCTGCTTCCAAACTCCTGGAAATCAGATCTCTCAGCAAACCCCATGTAATCAAATTGAATACTCAACCTTAGAATACCTCCAAGGCAAATTATCCAATCATACCAATGAATGCAGGATTTGAGGACATTAAGTGGAATCCGTGTGGCTGCAAGATGCTACAATGAAACCTTCCCTCCCCATGCTTCCTGGTCTATGCTGTGATCCTTCATGTGTGCAGAGAAGCTGAGCTTATATTTCTTCCCCTGGGTAACTAGGCCAAGAGGGTTTTTAAAAACATGTGGTAAAATCCAGGCACTAATGTTCTCATGGTAGGCAAATCTGCCTCAACTTACTCACTTAGATGTGGGATGTATTCACGCTTTTGATAAAGAGTGGTAGAAATCCAGTTTTGTGCTGTTGTTCAATTGCTAAGTCATGTGCAATTCTTTGCAACCCCATGGGCTGCAGCACACCAGGCTCCTCTGTCCTTCACTACCTCCCAGAGTTTGCTTCAATTTGTGTCCACCCAGTCAGTGATGCTATTTAACCCAGAGAATCATCTCATCCTCTGCCACCCCTTGTCCTTTTGCCTTCAATCTTCCCCAGCATCAGGGTCTTTTCAAACGGGTCAGCTCTTTGCATCAGGTGGCCAAAGTATTGGAGTTTCAGCTCCAGCATCAGTCCTTCCAATGAATATTCAGGACTGATTTCCTTTAGGATTGACTGGCTTGATTTTGCAGTCCAAGGGCCTCTCAAGAGCCCCAGCACCACAATCCCAAAGCATCAATTCTTCAGTACTCAGCCTTCTTTATGGTCCAACTCTCACATCTGTACATGACTATTGGAAAAACCATAGCTTTGATAATATGGACCTTTGTTGGCAAAGTAGTGCTTCTGCTTTTTAATATGTTGTCTAGGTTTGTCATAGCTTTTCTTCCAAGGAGCAAGCATCTTTTAATTTCATGGCTAAAGTCACCATCTACCAAAGAGATTTTGGAGTGCAAGTAAATAAAATCTGTCATTGCTTCCACTTTTCCCCCTTCTATTTGCCATAGAGTTGATGGGACTGCATGCCATGATCTTAGTGTTTAGAATGTTGAGTTTTAAGCCAGATTTTTCACTCTTCTTTTTCATCATCAAGAGCCTCTAGTTTCTCTTCACTTTCTGTCATTAGAGTGGTATCATCTGCATATCTGAGGTTGTTGATAGTTTTCTCACCAATCTTGATTTCAGCATAGGATTATCCAGGCCCACATTTTGCATGATGTACTCTGTGCATAAGTTAAATATGCAGCCTTGATGGTCTCCTTTCCCAATTTTTAACCAATCAGTTGTTCTATGTAAGGTTCTGTTTCTTTTTGACCCAAATACAGGTTTCTCAGGAGATAGGTAAGGTGGTCTGGTACTCCCAGCTCTTTAAGGATTTTCCACAGTTTGTTGTGATCCACAGAGTCAAAGGCTTTAGCGTAATCAGTGAAGCAGAAGTAGATGTTTTTCTGGAATTCCCTTGCTTTCTCCATGATCCAACAAACATTAGCAGTGATCTATGGCTCCTCTGCCTCTTCAAAACCCAGCTTGGACATTTGCAAATTCTTGGTTTACATACTGCTGAAGCCTGTCTTGAAATTAGTAATCATTCTCTGCTCTTCCACAGTAGCATATTGGACACCTTCCGCCATGGGGGTGCTCATCTTCCAGCATCATATCTTTTTGCCTTTCATACTGTCCATGGGGTTCTCCAGGCAAGAATACTAGAGTGGGTTGCCATTTCCTTCTCCAGTGGACCACGTTTTGTCAGAGCTCTTCACTATGACCTGTTCAGTCTTGGGTGGCCCTGCTTGGCATGGCTCATAGCCTCATTGAGGTATACAAGCCCCTTAGCCACAGCAGGCTGTGATCCATGAAGCAGGGAATCCAATTTACTCAAACTGTAATTTATCTTGAATATGCAGCAGAAAAGATGATGAACTATTGGGTTGGCCAAAAAGTTCATTCAGGTTTGTTAGTAAAATCTTACAGGCAAAGCTGAACGAACTTTTTGGCCAAACCAGTAAGAACAGATATTTCTGATTTGTGGTGCTGGAGAAGACTCTTGAGAGTCACCTGGACTGCAAGAAGATCAAACCAGTCAATCCTAAAGGAAATCAACCCTGAACATTCATTGGAAGGACTGATGCTGAAGCTGAGGCTCCAGTACTTTGGCCACCTGATGAGAAGAATCTACTCACTGAAAAAGATCCTGATGCTGGAAAAGATTGAAGGCAAAAGAAGAAGGGGGATGGCAGAGGATAAGATGGTTAGATAGCATCACTGACTCAGTGGACATGAATTTGAGCAAACTTTGGGGGAGAGTGGAGGGTAGAGGAACCTGGCATGCTGCAGTCCATGGGTTGCAAATAGTCGGACACGACTTACTGACCGAACAGCAACAACAATACACCTACAGAAGAATCACAAGGGTTTTTTCCTCGAGCAAGAGATACCTTAAAATATCTTCCTACTTTTCTTCTCCACATTGGTTGACAATAAAAAATTGAACGATATGATGACCAAATTCTCTGAAAAGAATGTATTGTTACTTTCTCATCTAGAAGCCAGTTTTTGCTCATCCTTTAGAATTCAGCTTAAATATCACCCTCACTCAGAGGCTTCCCCAGACCCAACATGGTAGGGTTAGGTCCACTTTCTGACCCTCCATATCAGGGCCACCATGTACCTGATCCCACAGTACCATAGTTACCTATTTTACTTGTCAGCCTCTTCCAGGAAACTGAAAACTTGTTCAGGGAAGGACTGTCTGGTCCACTGTTACTTCCCCAGCATCTACCAGAGTGTCAACTGTTGGGCATTTGATGGATCATGATTGGAGGACATGAAGGAGTTCCTGCTAAGTTCCTAAATTGATGCTGATGAAGTTAGTGTGAACTTTCGACAAAATAAGGATAAATTTTGTGTAATATTTTAGTGTGGTGGTGATTGTTGATTTAGCCGCTGTCATGTCTGATTCTTTGTGACCCCATGGACTGTAGCCTTCCAAGCTCCTCTGTCCGTGTGATTTCCCAGGCAAGGATACTGGAGTGGGTTTTGTTTCCTCCTCCAGGGGATGTTCCCAACCCAGGGATCGAACCCGAGTCTCTTGCATCTCCTGTAATGGCAGGCAGGTTCTTTACCCCCTGAGGGACCAGGGAGGGCTTTAAATGAAGAATACTGATTCATTACTAGTATTTGATGGGTTTCTTTGGGAGAATGAAATAATCATAGGATCTACATCAACAAAATCATTTGAAATGAGTGTCAGGATCTCTTTGTTGCTCTCATTAGGTTTTGTCATGAAAATGTTTGTAGAAACATAGTTCTAAATAATGATGTAAGGCAATGGAAAAACATAACACCATGTTTTTTAGGATTGCTTCTGGTATACAAAATAAGGGTCCTTTAGTCACTAAATGATTACATTCTCAACTCTTGTCCAAAGACTAGACAAAATTAGTAGNGAGTGACTGAACTGAACTGAACTGACAACTTTTATATCTTTTCTATATATGTACGTATCTCTAAGCATTGTTTTGTATGTAGTTAAATAAAAGCGTTATAGGGACTTCCCTGGTGGTCCAGTGGTAAAGACTCTGTGCTGCCAATGCAGGTGGTGTGAGTTCAATTCCTGATTGGGAAATAAGATCACACATCAGCCAAAAATTTTTAAAAAGCATTATATAGGATGTATAGGTTTTTTCTGGGCTTTTTTTTAAAGTATGTATTGTTTGGTTCACATATTTGGAAGTTATTTGTTCTGATAGGTCTAGCGCTAGTTATTATCCATTTTATTGCTGTCCAGTATTTCCTAGTATAACCACACCCCAGTCTACTTACCCACATTCCTATTGATAGACACTTAGGTTGTTTCCATTATCACAAACAACACTGCTATAAGCATTTTTGTACCAGTTTCCTTGTGTTCACTGGACATTTCTCTAAGGTGAATGCCTTGAGCAAGACTGTTGGTTAGATACTGGCAAATGCTTCTTCAATGTGGAAACTTATGCCCTCCATAACAGGCTAAGGGTTTTTGCTCCTCCAGATTCTTACCAACATTAGATATTGTCCAACTTAACAGCTTTGCCATCAACAAAGTTATCTTATCCTGTCAAGTTACCTTATTGGAGATTTAATTTGCATTTTCTTGAGTGCTAATGAGGTCAAGCTCCTTTCCATCATGCAGTTTAATTGATTTTACTAAGCGTCAGTTCCTTCATTTATAAGATGAGAATAATAGCATCTTCCTAATGCACATGGATGCTGTGAGGGTCACAAAGCCCATACTGTGTGGTCAGCACAGGCTGGCTAGGACTACTGCTAATAGGGACATGATGAATTAATAAACAGCACACTTCCCAGAGACTGCCAAAGCCTTGACTGTTCCCTTTCTGTGGGGAAGCTCACCAGGCTCAGGAGTGCCAGATCTTTGGCACCTGGAGGAACCTGGAAGCCAAGACTGGAAGGGCGGAGTGAACGGGAACAGGGTGAGGGACTAGCACAGACCCAGAGAAAACTCTGAGGTCAGTGGGCTTGCGGCCCTGAGGCCTGGACCAGCTGAGCAATCAGTAAGCTACAAGAGGAAGCATGGAGCATGAGCAGAGCCTGGCTCTCAAGTGATGCCTGTAGGTCCAGCGGATCCCAGGGTCGGCATCTGTGGCTCCACCTGGGGCCCTCTTCTCTTAGCGTTTTCCCTTCCCCTCTGCCTGTCCACCACAGAGGAGGCTGCATCCTGTGGGGGAGAGACTGTGGGCCTGTCACAGGCTCTAAAGTCACAGAGCTGGATTTGAACCAGATGATCTAGACACTTGACCTTCCTGAGTCTTTGTTTCCCCATTGGTAAAGTGGGAGCAGTTAATAATAATTCCTCACTTGGGGAGCTTTTGAAGG